CACACACATACATACATACATACGTACATACATACATACATACATACATACATACATACATACATACATACATACATGCATACATATATACATACATACATACATACATATATACATACATACATACATATATATATATATATATATATATTCTAGTAAATATGCCAGTACGAGATACAACCGACAGCGACCGGATCATCTGTGATATCACAACAAGTCTACCGCATAAACAAGCAGCCATACAAGCCACTGACTGAGCAATTGTACTGTACACTAAACCATCTAAACCGTAAACCCTAGAGCCTAAAGTCTCACTACATGGTACGTCTCTTCCCCCTTGAACACTGGGGAGATCACCCCATGCAAAGACGTTTCGAAGAGCATTGTACAAGGCCAGGAATGTTTGGAATGTACACAAACAGTAGATATCACACACCGTGAATATACATTAATAATGAGAACGCCTGCTCGACTATTTAAAGCACTTCGGCTGCCGTAGGCGTCACCCCGATCAAGAGTGTCACTACGAGAAGGCATACTACCAGGAATATATCGTAAATTCACAAGTGTATATCATACTATAGATCGTAAAAACACAAGTGTATATCATACTATAGATCGTAAAAACACAAGTGTATATCATACTATAGATCGTAAATACACAAATGTATATCATACTATAGATCGTAAATACACAAGTGTATATCATACTATAGATTGTAAATACACAAGTGTATATCATACTATAGATCGTAAATACACAAGTGTATATCATACTATAGATCGTAAATACGCAAGTGTTTATCATACTATAGATCGTAAATACACAAGTGTATATCATCCTATAGATACGGGTCGAAACAAGAACTTGATATCACGGACAACAAGTACAGGCTGAGCCGACTCCAACACCTGGGACAGCTCGAAGGCCGGTGTGGCCACTCCCGCCAAACCCAACTCTGCCGGAGTGTATTCTGCCGGGACTACATAGTAGATAGATACGATACACGGGTGGAAACCCAACAAACCCAACCCTGTGGAAACCCAACAAACCCAACCCTGTGGATATAGCTGGCTTAGCGTGCGCGTGTGCTTCCGTACCTGGTGAACCTCGAACGCCGTAGTGATCACGCCAACCAGATACGACTCAGCGAGCGTAAACACAGCTAAGAATATGTAGTTGTGGGGTGACCGGCGACGCGCATCCTCGTAGCAGGACAGTGTGAGGATAAGACCGAAAGTGGTTCCAAAAGCCAGCCAGATAGTCCTGTAGATAGCCCAAAAAAATTAAAATCAGGAATTTCGAATTTCAGGAAAATCAGGAAAATGAAACTGGAAAACATCCCAATTTTTGCCATCAACATGAACTTCATAAGGCGTCTAATAAATATGCAAATCGAGGACAGGCCATTTTAAATCTACTCCAAATAAGATCCGGTACATGGTTGCCTACAATATACATACCACAAACTAGATTCAGCCGCACTCTAAGATCCGGTACATGG